CGCTTAACCTTGCGGCAATCTTCGCCGCTTCGTGGGTCGTCAGCAGGCATTCTTGCCGCTCGACACTCTCGCTGTTTAAAAACACGAACTCGGGCGCAGCAGTGACTGTTGTGGTCGTTTCTTCCGCGATCGGGTTGGGTGTGGCGTTCCTACCATGTTCAGGAGTGGAAGCCCCGTTGTCAGCTCCTATTGTCCTTGTGGGCGTTTCCCGAACGTCCTCGGTCGGAAGTTCACGGGCATTGGTTGAAGTATCGTTGCTGCTGTCACTGCCGCTGCTTGAACCGCTTGAACTGCCCGACCCTGATGAGCTCTCGGAGCTAGAAGACTTTCGTCGCTCGGGAACCTTGTTCGGTCGTTGAACGACCTCGACGACCTCGGGCGAGGACGCTTCTATTTCTACTTCCTCGCTGAGTTGCTCGATCGCATCATCGTAATTCGCTCCCGAGATATTCTGACTGTCAGAATCCGACATTTCCCTTTCCTAAAGGAGACGGTCGTGTTTTCAGAAGATGGGGTCAGTTATGGTTCGGTCGGGGTTAGTGGAGCGCCGAAGTCGGCCTTTATGCGATAAAGTAAAAGACAAGGAAGAAAGAAGAGGGAAGTGAGGACTTACCAAGTGAGTGATGTTTGCTGAAGAAGTTAGAGTTTCTTGCTCGATCGATGCACAGTACTGCTCGCTCGGGAAGCTCTGGTTGATTCTCGCAGAATGGTAAAAGTTCAAATGACCTCAGAAATGCCTATTTATAGGAAAAATTTGGGCTGGAACACGACCCACTTGCGCGATGTGACTGTTGCAGACTCCGAGACGCGCAGAAGCTGACACGTGGCACAACAAGCGACAGCTGTCCGGTCGGGATCGAAAGCCAAGTGATTGGACCTTTTCATCTCATCCCGTTTTTTTCACGAGCGGTCAAAAAGGCCCGGACTGGGGGGGGGGGCTTTTGGTAGGGTATATCCCGACCATCGTAGCTTGGGTTTTCTCGTTCTTTGTGCAGGTTTTACAGGTCGGATATTCAAGAAGGAAGACGGTCGGACCCGACCGGTGGACTTCCCGACCAGGGTCTTTATCACCCGACTATTGGCCCTTATCTTACGAGGAGTCAAGGATCTCGAGAAGAGGTACGTGGCAATGCTACACGTTGACAGAGAGTGCTAGCTGGGTAAAGACGCGTGGATGCTACGTGGGCTACATGCTGACCGGCTGGAGGTGTGTCTCCGGCCAAGCGGCTATAAATACCCACGTCGACTACAGTGTGAGAGACTTTTGGACGATCGATAGATTATCTACAGAGTTGCCCGACCGCAGTCAGTCGGCCCTCGTGATAATCACTTAGATTGTATTAGGTCCTCTTTGATCAATAAAAGACTTCTATTTCTTTTTGCTTGATCTTATTTAAGTACCTTGACCGCTTAACACGTGGAATTAGTACTATCAATGCCCTTACTAAAAAATAAGAAAAGTCATGAAAAGGACTAAAAAAGTCCAAAAAAAAATAATCTAGGATGTTTAATGGCAAAAACGATAGTCTGGAACTAAATTTGGAATTGACACCGAAGACAATGGACCTCTGGTGGAATTAACACTCCATCTCTCTCTCTCTCTCTCTCTCTCTCTCTCTCTATATATATATATATATATATATATATATATATATATATATATATATATATATATATATATATGGGTGATTAGGTGGCTAGGTGAGTTGAGTGAAAGTGAAATTATGGTAGCTGCCGACGACATCATTATTAATTAATTCTCTTCACCGCGATCCATCGCACATGGTTTGATCAATAATCGGCTACCGATGAATCTTTCGGTCATTGGTGCGCAGCCGGCGTCTTCCCGGCATACAGAGGCGGTGGACTAACATCGACCGCCGGCGATGGCCTTGGCTCATCTGTGGCTATAGTTTTTACCGGTCTGGGTTGAATTCGATAGCCCCTGGTTGGAATCTTAGCCCGGGAGTGGCGCTACCCAGCCAGTCGAAGTAGTCTCGAGCGTGGGTAGGGACTTGCAACGGAGATTGGGAAATTAATATTTAATTTGTAAAAAATAAAGTTTAAAATATTAGCTTGATTAAGAATTTCAAACTTATGCAAAGGAGGATGTGAAGTAACGATAGAAAGAAAGAGAAAGGTAAAAAGAAAATATAATAAAAGACTTATTCTTGAAAACTCAGGGATAGGTGCTATTCCTCCTTTAGAGAGAATGAGCCATTTCGAAGAACATTTTTCTTAGGAATATAATATAAGTGGTTACCGAATAGAGGAATGCACCCATTACTGAGAATGCTATGTCATTTCAAGCCTATTCTGCGAACCAAACAGCCCATTAGGATGAGACTATCCCAACAAAGTCTCCATTTGCAAGATGATATGCCCTCCCAAGAAAGCATTGCTTATTGGATTGGGTTGTCCATGTGACTAGTAAATTTGCTAGGCAGCTTACTTTTTATTTTTATTTTTATTTTTATTCTTTTTTTATTTCTTTTATTATTATTATTATTATTATTATTATTATTATTATTATTATTATTATTATTATATTTATAATATAATATGAAAGTGATAATATTTTTGAAAGTGAGAGAGGTTTGCAAGGATGTAGAATAAATAGTAGAGAATTTACATATTTAATGATGTAGAAGTGAGACTCATTATAAAAAGTGAGAGAAATTTGTAGGTATAATAATGACATCAACAAGAGCAAGTACAAGAATGGTGTTAGCATTTGTGTCATGATGATGTTAAACATTCCTATAATTCACACTACAAATTAAAATCTTCCGGTAACTATAAAATTTCAAATTCAATTAAAATTAGAGCGACCTATATATTTACCTTCTTAATTTGAGTTGGTCATCAGTTATGAACAATTTAAGATAGTTTACTTCCTTGATCTTTTATCAACTAAAGTCACAACATAAATTTATCATGTGTACACCTTTGAATAGTGGCTACAAATTTTCCTCATTACTCAAAAAATTGAAATTCTTTCTTGATACATTATCTTTTTTTGAAAATCTTGATACATTATCTATAATTGAATAATATAAAGGAATAAGGGTCAAATAAGCCACTGAATTGCACACGAGATTGCAATTAGGCCACTGAACCTAAAAAGTCTACAATTGAGTCTCTAAACTAACCAATTTCATTCAATTTGTCTATTTTTTAGGTTTCTTAAGTTGCTAACAAAGTTACCCTTCCACCTAAGCTGTTTATGTGGTATTTTTTAAAAAAAATAATTTATTTTTAAATTAGTTTTTTTTTAATATTTAATAAATAAAAACTAAAATAATTTTATTTTTAAATTAGTCTTTTAATGTTTAATAAATAAAAACTAAAATAAAATGTTTTTTTTTTAAAACAAAATAATTTGTATTTGTTTAAAATTCTCAAATTACCAATACAAACTAATTATTTTAAAATTCAAAAATCACCAAATCACGATAATTTCGATTAAATAATTTGTTAATTGTTTTATTTGTTCCTGGCCACGATACAGTAATTGAATTATATTATACATTTGGCAGTAATTAAAATAAGTAAAATAAATTACGCATCTCTAATTTGAAGGTGGCTGTGATGAAGTCTGCGAGAAATTTTCCCGCGATTAATCTCTTTGACCTAAACAAGGAATCCGATTGTTTAATAGGAAACAAATTAGTAAAATAAATTATTTTAGTTTTTATTTATTAAACATTAAAAAAATTAATTTAAAAATAAATTATTTTTTTAAAAATGTCACATATGCATCCTAGGTGGAGGGGTAACCTGTTAGCAACTTAGAAACCTGAAAAATGGACAATTGAATGAAATTGGTTAGTTTAGGGACCCAATTATAAATTTTTTAGGTTTAGTGGCCTAATTGCATTCTCGTGTGCAGTTCAGTGACCTATTTGATTCTTATTCCTAATATATAAAATATCTCTAGAGCAATAATATTCGAACAAGTATAATGACTGACTCAACATCATCCATTACATTGGGAGGCAAATTATTATGTGGACCAATTAAAAATATATTTTTAATTTTAATATATTTAAAATATATTAAAAATACATTATTTATGTATTGATAAATATACATTATTTAATAGTACACTAAATAATGTACTTATTGTCCTTAAATAATGTAGTTTATTAATATAAATAATGTAATTTTTTATGAGGTTTTCTACACAAAAATGATTCATATTTATTTCAAAAAAAAAAAAAATGATTCATATTTGGAGGGGTCGGTCCGGGACCTTATTAATTCAATCCGTCAATAGTGGAACAACCCAACGGCTAGATCACAAAATAGTGAAATTGTGGGGTTTTTTTTTAGTAGTCGATCGAGAGTTCAAAATTTGTCTTCCGCCGCTACTGCCTCACCTCTATGTTGACATTGAAGATCGCCGCTGGTCCTCCGCCGCTGAGCCTTACCTCGCCGGCGCTCTCTCTCTCTCTCTCCTCTCTACGCTGGTGCTACGACTTTGGTTCAGTGTGTGCAGTTTTTGTTCCCGGTTCTGTAGTGGGGCCCAAATTACAGCCTCGCCCTTCTCCGGGCCGACATCGTCTCCGGCCTCACCATCGCCTAGCCTCGCTATCCCTCAGGGCATCAGCTACGCTAAACTCGCAAATTTGCCGCCTATTATCGGACTCTGTAAGTACAAACATTTATTAATATTTTTCATTAATATTACTATATAATTAATATATGTTTGGTCGTCGGATACATTGGCAGATTCCAGTTTTGTCCCGCCGTTGATATATTCAATTCTTGGGAGTTCTTTGGGTTTCTTCAGGTAGGCTAAGGTCTTGGTATGCTTTTCATGGTTGTACAGGTTAATTTTGAGATTTTCTGCTAAAAATCTATTATGTTGCTATGAAATTTTGAATCTTATTTTCTTTCATTATTTAAATCAATCTTGTGGTGAATATTGATTGGCCAACATTCAACACTTCTTGTTTTACATATTAGTTGAAACACACATATTTTCTTCTATTGAGAAGAAAAAAACAAGCAGCTACTCAAATAATGCTGTCAAGATTCAAGAACCCATGCCCTAACTTTCTGCAAACTGTTAATTTCTAGAGAGCGAGAGCAAGAAGAAGAAGAAGAAGAAGAGGGGAGATGGATACGTGTTTGGGTAATGAGAGGAGTAGATGCCAGTGGTGAGGGTGGCAGTGTTGGGTCAGATAAGAGGATTAAAGCCCTCTGTAACCTCATCAATGCTGCTTCCTCTGCAACTACAGTTAATTTTTATTTATTTTTTATTTTTTCACATCAATTTAAGTCAAAATAAATTTCACCTGCATCATATTATAAAAATAAAACAGTATACTAACCCTGCATATAAAATTTGAAAATTGTTATGGTATACACTACACTACATGATATCATTTAAAATTATTATGAATAGTATCTGATACAGTATATATTATGATATTAGCACCATGTATGATGTAACTCACCATTTTTTTTTTAAACTTGAGACAAGCATCTCGACAATAGTAAAAATGAGGTGAATGCAATTTTTAAAACTGCAACTTGTTGGTCCCAGTAGTGACTAAAGAGAGTCTAGAGGGGGGCTGGGGGGTGAATAGACTCTACTCGATTTTTGAAAACAACTCCGAGAGAGTAATGCGCAGTGGAAAATATATATGTTCCTTTTAATGTTTCTTTGCACACTTTCGTTATAAGAAATTAAGGTTTGATGATCGTGGATGATATGCAAAGCAGATAAATGAACGAAAGTAATGATAGAGAGAGAGATTTTTATAGTGGTTCGGTTGTTAACAAAGCCTGCTCCACTCTTCTTTCATAACTTGTGAAAGGGTTTGCACTACCACTCCTTAGTACAAACTAAGCTAAGCTTGCTTCCTTGATCACTAAGTCGGACATCAACTAGCTAGGTTTTTCAACTCCTCCGAGTCTACTCCGTCTCTATCAACTTCTTCTTCAGAGTTGAGGGTTGGAAAAAGATTGATGAATTTCCAACTTGAAATCTTGGCTTGATGTAGCTTGATCTTCGAATAAAAGCTGTAAGATTTCCTTGGTGTTATGAAGACTTAGATGGCTGGATGATTGTAACACCCCGTGTTACGGCCTTCAATCCCGGATTAATTATTTAATTAATCCTGTTAATAATAATTAAATATGATTTAATTTGGTTAGGTTTCCCTTTAATTAATTAATGAGGTCCACCATGAATCGTGGACCCTTGTTTAAACTAGAGTTTTAAGCCCATTAGGAATAAAAAGAGTAAACCTTTTACTAGTCAGATTCCAATTAGGAATCCTAGACCTATACATCCATTAGGAATAAAGAAAGTAGGCCTTTACTATTCAGATTATGATTAGGATTCTTGATTCTATAAATAAGGAATTAGAAAGTAATTAGAACCCTCACCACCCATAGTTATATTGCACGAAAATATTCCCGGGAGATTCCCCACCACCAAGCCTAGGGAGATCAATCGGATGAAAATCTTAGAGAAGAACCTTAGTAGCCAAGGATTCTGATTAAGGCTAAGAGGTAACCCATGTCTCAACAAAACCTATTTTCTTCGCTATAAACTCCTTCCTTAGCATCCTTCTATATGCTTGTGTCTTGATTTATTCCTCTATGCTATTTGTGATATATTCTTGATGATTGATAAGATGATTTATGTGTATTCTTGATAATCTTGATGATCTTGATGTTGAAAAGAGGTTCTTGATATTGATGGGATGATTCTTGACAAATCTTAATATTTCTTGATGTTAAAGATAAATCGTGATTTTGATGATTTGGGAGGGATTAGAGCCCTAGGGTGGATTGGGAATTTGCGTTATAATGTTCTTGATATATATTTGGGTGGGAATTCGCATGTTCGGGTGTTGTTTATTTTTAGAAGTCATAATAGGATGAGTTATACGTGATTCTTGCTTTTGATCCGTTAATTGCCTACGTGGTGTCGTTAATTGCGTTTAAAAGTGTCTAAGCATGGTTTCGGGTTCCACAAAAGATCCCGGGACGTAATTGTGATGAAAGAGTCAGTGGGGGGTAGGTGGGGGTAGGGGTACCCGCCACCTACCCACTGCCCGAGAATCATCGCCGGGCAGCGGGCAGGCGTTCGCCCGCCAGCAACCCGCTGCCCGGGCGATGATCTCCGGCAGGCAGCCGGCGGGTGACCCCCACCCACCGGCTACCCGCTGGTCCGTGCCCACCCCGGGTCTTCGGCTTCCCCGTTTGATGTTCCCCATTCCCCCGTGGTGTCCCAACGGACCCCGTTTGTCGTGCCTGAGTCTAGTTTGATGTTTTGGGTACCATTCGTAGGATAAAAGAGTCTTAGGAATTTCATGCTAGTCGAATCGGTAACCCGTTGACCTAGGTGGAAGTCGAATGAACCCCTTAGGACTATTCTTAGTATGTGAATGATCACACGTAAGCTTATTTATGTGTCTTCTCCTTCGCAATGTGCTATTATGTGTTATGTGATGCATGATTCCCCAATTTGGAGATCAAATTGGCTATACGGGTAGTTGGATGGGTTGAGAACCATCCCAACTGTTAACCAGGCCGGTTGCGATCGGTCAGGTATATAAATATTATATAGGGCTGCGGTCCACTGTTGGTTACTTATGAGCTGCGGTTCATCCTTCTGGCTACGGTCAGTGATTCACTTCTTGGGCTGCGGTCCACATGGGCCTCGGGTATGATGACCCACCGAACTGGACGCGCCAGGCGGTGTGTAGGGCCAATAAACCCGAGGAAGGCTGTAGTCCACCGACCTGAGTAATCAGGCGGTGTGTAGGGCTACGGCTGGCTGCGATCCACCGAGTGATGGGCCAGCGGTGTGTAGGGTCGTAGTCTCCGAGGATCTTCGCCCACCGACTGTGTCCCTCAGCGGTGTGTAGGGCTTGATCCGCTACGGTTCACCGACTGTGCTCGTCAACGGTGTGTAGGGTTGTATGTCCCCCCTTGTAAAGGGGATCACAGTCCACCGACTGGGCGCGTCAGCGGTGTGTAGGATTGTGGTCCGACGTTGAGTTCGTTAGCGGTCCTTAAAGGGTTGGTTGCGATCAACTCCCTTCATGTTGCGGTATGAGGTAGGGTGCTGCGGGACCGTGTTAGTGCTATATGCGCTAACCCTCATGTTCGGGGCATGCGATTGGTCCCGTGGCGCCAGCTCAGTGTGATTGAGTGTCACAAATGATGATTGGACGATGATATGATTGATTTGGAAATAGACTGTGACCTTAGTTGCGTATTCTTTATGATGATTCTCCTTAACTGTTATTATTGATTGTTGTGTTTACCCCTATTTGCTGAGTCCATTCCTGGTTTTTAAACTAGAGTCTCTTAAGTATATATCTTTCTGCTTCGAAATGATTTTCATATATCTTTCTATAATGTATTTCAATGCATTGGAGTGGCTTACCAGCATCATTCGTTGAACAGATATATTTGGCTTTCAGTCACAGATGAGTAGACACCGGAGCGCGCTAGAGATCCGGAGCATAGAATAGTTAGTTTCCCTTTCGGCTTGCGTGCCATGATTATGTATTGACATTGCTTGAGCATGTTTAGTTAGTTTAGCCTGTGCATCTGAGTTCTCCAGCTCAGATGTGGCATAGCACCCCGCACTCTTATGTTAATTTTGGGATTTAATGAGAATTCACCTTTATTATATAAACTTTAAAAGTTTTCAAAATTTCGGGGTGTTACAATGATCTTCTTAGAAAGAGTCTTCACAACTACATGCTGGTTAGCAAAGCTTGTAAGATGAGCAGTTTGAAAGCTTTTTAGATAGCAAAGAGTGATAAAAACTAGCACCTTCTTCAAGTGATGAAGAGGGGTATTTATAGGGTGCGAAATCCATCTGTTGGAGGTTGATGAAAATTTCAAACCTATTAACCAGCGTGTAATGACCTTTGGGTAAGGAGGTTTAAATGAGGCTATACTATTTTGCTGTTAGTTTCAAAAAGCAACCAACCATTTTGTCATCTTGTACGGACAAAAGGTACTAATGATTAAATGCTCCTTGATATTCGAGATTTCATTCCTATGACACCATTTGTGTAGAATGATTTACCCAGCTCTGAGACTTAGACAAACATGCTTCTAATATCATATGATTCTTGTATAATCAAGTCAAGCTTTGACTTGTAGTCTCGGGTCATTATCAACGAAAGATTGTCCTTTCCTTTCGTTGAAAACCTCAGTCAAATAATCTATCTTTATCATTTGATAGTTACACGAGAGATAGATCATTCCATGCTTCGGTCTAAACTGATCTCTTGGTCATCTTCTTCTCTAGATTCTTCTTCGTCTTCGAGGAGAACCCTGATTCGTGTTCATGCTTATTTAAGCACGAATCCTCTTTGAGCATAGTATACACGAAAGACACTAAACACAGAAAGAAAAAGGTAGTTGAGGGGTCTAAATTCTTAGTGAGCTTGGTATCATCAAAATCTGAATACATATGTTCCTAACAATGTCCAACTTCAGTCGCCACTAAAATATTATTAGTGATTAATCTACCAGGATAAAGGCAGTTTGATTCTCGGTGACAATATTATCAATGATCCTTTTCATTCTGTTTACAATCATTTTAGCCATTACCTTGTAGGTGACGTTACAAAGAGCAATAAGTCGGAGATCAGCTACCGTCTCTAGAGTTGATTTCTTGGGTATCAAGGTAATAATAAGAGCATCATTAAGTCCTCCCGGGGTAAAGGAATGAGTAGTGTTGAGACATTCTAAAATAAATTTTGTAGTGTTAGGGCCGACAAGATTTCAATAGTGCTGATAAAACCCGTGATTCATTCCATCAGTTCATGGTGACTTATCCAATGCATAGAAAAAATGGCTGATTTTACTTCGCCACTTGTGAATGGAGCTAATAGAGAGATGTTTTGTTGGTCAGTAACAATTCGAGAAGTGGTATAAGATTGGAATGCTTCATTAAGACCATTAGTGGAGAATTATATCTTGAAAATAATGTTGCACCACTGGACGCAGACTCTCACCGTAAGCCCAGCTTCCATCCAATCTCTTGAGTCTACTAATCCGATTTTAATTTCTTGTGTCTTGCTGAGGCAAAGGAGTGAAAATATTTGGTATTCAAGTCCCCACTTTGGAGCCACTGTCTTTTTGCTCTTTGCTTCCAGAAAGACTCTTCTTGGTCCATAAGCTTTTGGAGTTCACCTTGGATAATAACAAACTGATCCAGGCTATAAGCATCCTTTTTTGGGCGCAACAGCTCCATCCTAGCTTTAAGTGATTTAATTCTCCGACCAAAGTTATTAAAAAGCTCACCTCCCCATCGTGAAAGGGCATTGCTACAGTGGGTGATTTTCTCAGGAAGAGACACTTAGGGAGCTAATTTGATCCTCTTACCTATCAATTTTAGTTTAATTGTTTCGCTTTGGATTGTTCTGTGACTTAATTGTAATTTTTTAAATTTAATGATATAATTACATTTTCGCATTAAGTTCGATCAATGGTGTATTGAGCATTATTCCTTCTTATTAATTTTGATGATTCTGATCACCTAAGGGAAAATTTAAGATTAAATTAAAATATGATATTCGTTGATAACGTTGTTAGATCAGATCGATCAAATTATCTTAATATTAATGAACTGGATCAACAAATACTAAAGTTACGTTGTAATTGAGTAAAACCATTTTAATTTTAGAAAAAGCATACAAAACGGATAAGATACTCCATTACATAGATATATGGAATTTAATTGATAACATGCATTACGCAGAATTTATTAAACTAGCAATTCAGTTTATGAGTTCGTGGATCAAAAACCCATGACTTCCAATTTCCAAATCCCACAAAGGAACACAAACATCCCAGAAATTATTCTGCGAAGATGATGAATCTTCTACGGATTCTGGGACAGCCTGCGGATGGGAGGAATATGACTGCTCCGCTATGGTTTCTGGTACAGTTTGCAGGTGTGGAGATGGCGGCTCTGCAGCTCGAGGGACAGCAATGGCAGCTGGGGCGGACGTACGGTCGCCCGGTCGAATCCGCGGTCAAGCCTCGCCGTCTTATAAACTCGTGCCGTAACTGCATGAGCATTGACATTGTATAGATCAAACCCTTACTACTAAGTCAAAAATTATAATTCATAAAGACAGAGTGTTGAACTTGACTTTTCAAGAGTCAGAGTGTTGAACTTGACTTTTCACAGGCCTACGTTAGCAGTCCCCCTAGCCACAGACATAAATATTTTGTCTGGACTAATGAGAGAAACTTACAACTACTAGGCAAAGGTATGCATGAGATAAATTCTGCCCACAGGAGATAAACTAGTCTAAGTTGTCCATAGCAAACGGATTCAAATAAAAAAGATTAATCGATTGCTTATATTAGGAGTTAAACTTGTAAACTTGTGGTTATTAAGTTAACAGTCTTACCAACTTAATTCGATAAATGTTGAAGATGGAACAGAATACATACCTGTACATCAGACATTGTAGCTGTAGGAGGAGGTTGTCCCAGAATGGCTTTGTACTCTATCATCTTCCATTCTGTCTTTCTGCCTGTGGGAGCCCTACCTCTGTAGAAAATCATGGTCCTTTTACCTCCTATTATTTCATTATTTGAATAGATGAGAGTGGGGGTACCAGCTGCTTTCCAGTATCCTTCTGGTGTAAGCCGGTTAGGTTTTCCTCCACGGGATATGTTTTCTTGCATATCAACAAAGAAAAAGCACTCTTCTGGGTCACCCCTACAAAGCTCTCCAACGAACTCTGTTCTCATGTCATATATAAATAGTATTATTCAGTAAATGGACGCACAAAGTTAACCATTTTCACTAGCTATATCATCTCCTAATCTCTAGCTACTATGTACGTTCATGATAAAGCAAGAAATTACTAAGCCAATGCTTCTTTCTCTTTCTTGCAAGAAATTCAAGAAAATGCTTTATTGCTAAACTATTTTCGAATCTCTTTCGGAAAGTGCTAGATATGGGTTTAATGACTTTAATCGGACCAACTGGTCTACTATGAGTAGGGACCGAGCCAGAAATTCAGTTGAGGGGGCGAAGAAGTAAAGAGGGATTCAGAAAATTTTTCAAGTATAGACGAAACATTAAAATAAATTAAATTAAAAGAGATAATTTAAAAAAAAAAAAAGGAATTACCTAATAAATATAGTTGTAAATATTGTTAGATATGGGCGAAAAATAAAACACATCGAAACTTTATAAAAATATTCATTACAAAATATGAAACATAATTAATTTGATAAAATAATTTGAATAGAAAACACATTATAAATTACACATCTCATTATTAATATAAAAGAATGTTATATATATGTGTGTGTGACATGACTGTGTTAATGTTAAAGGATTATTCAAACCCTTGACCTTTACTATTACCAAACATGTGGTCTATCAACTAATCTAACTCATTTCTTGTTGACATTTAATAGTTTTTTTTTATAATAATACTAAAACATGTACTATATATACGTATATACATACAAATATTATATATGGGGTGGGGGTGGGGGTGGGGGTGGGGGTGGGGTGAGGGGGGCAGCTGCCTCCACCCCCTTTGGCTCCTTCCCTGACTATGAGCAATAAACATCAAAATTTGAGTGGGGTCAATTGACCTCACTCAAGTAAAGGTGGCTCCACTAACAAGACCTAGGTGGATCTAGTATGGATGATCATGTTTTGATTCGAACTGAATCGTATATTGTAAAAATTATATCAGAATTCAAACCACCGATTCTGATTCTATTTTGATGAAATTGAGAATCGAAACCGCCGATTCGGGTTTCAAACCAGAAACCAGAAATTAAAAAAAAAAAAAAAAAAAAAAAACAATAATACCAAAGGAGAAGCAAATGACTCTTTAAAAATATAACATATAAAAGGTAAGAAAATTAGGTGGACTTTGGTTATTAAAATTTTGATAAGATAAGTAGGTATAGTAATGTAATTTGGTAAAATTAAGTACAAGTATAAAATTATTTTATTTTTTTATTTTAACTTTAAAGTTTAAATATTTTTCGATATAACCATTTTTAAAAAATTTCAAAATAAAAAAAAAATCAAAAAAATAATTATTGAATTTAGATTATTTTATAAATAAGCAAAATTTATTAAAAAATAAAATAAAATTAAACCAGCAGTTTAAATCAGAACCCCCGATTTTGATTTTTCATTTTCCACAACCATGAACTGTCAGTTCATAACCGAACCTTTAGCTAGTTGGACCAAATTCTAATTGCGTTCTTGATTTTTGATCCTTTTATTTTAAATTTTTTATTTTAACTCTTGATTTTTCGTTGTACTAAGAAAATAAAAAACTAATTAAACCCTACAAGAAATGTTGCAAGAAATTAGTAAGCAAATGTTTCATTCTCTCATACAAAAAATTCAAGAAATTCTTGAAAGTGCTTTTTTAATTTGCAGAACTATTACTGAGCCTTCTAAAAAAATATTAAACATATGTTTAATATGAACTTGACTAGCTAGGTTTAAATCTAGTTCATCTGATCAGATCGTGATTGTCTTGTTGATTTATTGTCCTTTTTAATTTTTCTCTTTTGAACATTTGATTTTTTCAGTGTACCCATAATAATAATAATAATAATAATAATAATAATAATAATAATAATTAAAAAAAAAAAAACACTTCTAATAACCCCTATTACAAATATATATATTTACACATATTATTTAAAATGAATCCTAATCATAACAATAATCACCTTTCCCAAAGGAGAATTGAAGCATGAAGAGTGTAGATCAAACATAAAGTAAATGATTTGCAAGGGAAACTATAATATGTGTAATACTACTATAAATACTAACGAGGTAGATCCCATGGACAATGATCATAAATGTTGACAACTGGAATAACCGCATCAATGTCTTCCCTGTCGCCTTGGAGCTTATGTTTGAGATAGAAGCAAACTAATTCTTCCTCAGTGGGGAAGAATCTGAAACCCTGTGGATAATCCTCCATTATTATTGTCTCATCTGCAACTATATTAAACATATTATATTATTATATATTTATATAAGCTGGCCGGTAGAGAGATGATGATGAAAGACTAGAAAACCATGTAACGAAGAAAACCACTAACCCAGTAACCCATCCGTTGGAACAAAGAAAACCGCCAACCTTTTCCAACATAGTATTGTAGTTGATGTGGATTGAGAGTGGTTTCCAACCCTAAATTTCAAAATACAGTGGGACCCTGATGAATGTGAAGCAATTTTACTTTCATTTTCCTGCTCTTCTGTTTTATTTGATGATGATGTTCAAATTGGAGTTGAAAAAACTAAACTATGTTAAAGAATATTTGAAAGGATGAATTGATAGAATATTTGAAAGGATGAATTGATACTTTTTGGGCAATCCCAATTCGTCACTCTATTGACTTGATAATTACGGAGTACAAGCTTTCAAGTTCGAATCTCAATATGAGCAGTCTATTTACTTTCTTGATTTGAACCGATATCGCCTACATCCTTATTATCTTTTGTTGTTGCGAGATTTCCCGTAAATCAAAGAATGAATTGATAATTCTTCCTTCTAAATGTTGTCGAAGTGTCTCAAAATATACTCATAAAAAGGATAAGTATAGTTTTTTAATTGTAAAGTATTCTGAGTTTATTATTATGCCAAAAGCTACAGCACCACGTTTTGATGGCAAGATGCTGAACTAGTAGCAAATTCATAACTTTATTTATTTATATTTGTGTAGCAATTAAAGCTACATATTGATACCAAGATTTTGGGCAACTTTATTTTCTTATACTTGTGTAGTAGCAATCAGTGCCACATTTCGATGGTATTATAAGTCAAAAGATATAACTAGTAGTGAAAGTGCAACTTTAGTTCCTTATACTTGCGTAGCCGTCAATGTCACATTCTAATGACAAAATACTGGACTCAACTCTTCGAGCTGCCACCCAACACAACAAGTATAAAATATAAAAATCAATACATGAAAAATTAGATTTACCAACTACATACTACTAAGACTGTTAAGAGTTACCTAAGAGAAAATCTATAAGTAATTCAATGAAATGCATAAGTACCTAATTTATTTACCAAGGGATTTTTGTAAGAAAATAATTAAATATATATGTATTTAAGCCATTAGTAAATCCATAGTTATTTCAAAAATTTTGTAGAGTGGATTTAGAATTAAAATTGAGAAAATAATAATAATTTTTTTGGGTGTAACCCCATCGCAGAATTGTAGGCACCTTTATTGGGTGGGATATATAGCTAGCCTAGAAATTTAAGACTGTTCCATATCCAAAGCCAATGATTAAACTCTTGACGTTTGATTAAGGATATATGAGTATGAGTCTCTTTCACTCAACCACACTCCCAAATAGTAGTAGTAGTAGTGAGAGTACAAAAAATTCATTACACTTAACTAGCTAGAATTTGCACTGCATATGTTGGGTTGAAGCTTAGAGTACCGAGTTCAGCATCTTACCATTGAAAAGTGATATTGACGGTAATGTAAACATAAGGAAATAAAATAACACATTTGTTAATAGCTATAACTCACTGTTGGAAATTATGAAATTTCTGACCACCTGAAAGTGATCTTAAATCAAGTTGAAAGTCTTGTTCCGACCACTTTTGGTATCCGAAAAAACCTTTGTTGCTATTTCCGACCACTTTTAACTTTCGAAAACAACATTATTTGAATGTGAACTTATTAATTGCATAAGACCGTGGTCTTTCGAGAACAACATTCTCGTCTGTGCGCAGATCAAGGCGGGGATGAGGCCGGAAGAAGTGGATTTGAATGTGATCCCTTGCTGGATCCAAATTCATGGGCTCCCAGCGATCTATGCATCGCTTGATTTCATCACCAAGATCGGTAATTATGTGGGTAGCTTCATGGCCTCCGATCCGCATAACTTTGGTGGTACCTGGAGGAGCTACGTGCGAACGCGGGTGCTTCTGGATGTCAATACGCCTTTGAAGCGGAGGATGAAGTTGATTCGGCGAGACGGCACATCCCAATGGATCACCTTCAGATACGAGCGCCTCAACATTTTCTGTTTCTGTTGCGGGCTCTTGGGGCACACAGATAAGTACTGCAGGAAAGTGTATGAGGAAGGGGTAGAGCCGGATGATTTCCCCTACGGAGTCTGGATGAAGGCTGGGCTGAGACGTCAAGCGAAGCCTGTTGGAGCACGTTGGCTCCTGCCAACGAAATCGACGGGGGTGATCGCGAAGTCTGAGGCGGAATCCCCGGCCTTAGCGCTGGCAGTCGTGGAGGAAGGCAGTGGTTTGCAAGGCGAGCTGAAGCGTCGTAGGGAGGCGGTTGACGAAACGGGTGGTGACTCGGGAAAGGATGTGGTGATGGAGGAACATTCGAAACAATGCTTTTCGGCGGGACTGGAGGCGCAGTCCTGCCAGTCACCATGAGTGTTCTGAGCTGGAACTGTCGGGGTTTGGGTGGCACCCAGACAGTTCATGAGTTAGCGGGTTTGGTGGCCCGCAGGCGACCCAGCTTCGTCTTCCTAATGGAAACGAAGTCGGTTACTAGTAAGATCGAGAGCTTGAGGATTCGGTTGGGTTTTGAGGGTAAGGTGAGTGTTGATTGTGTGGGCAGGAGTGGGGGACTGGCGCTCTTGTGGAGGGATGCAGAGATGGTGAATTTGCTCAGTTATTCTAATCACCACATTGACGTGGAAATTACATGCCCAGGCAAGCCGGTGTGGCGTCTTACTGGCGTCTAT